AGAGCATTTACTAGATACACTCAACTTTGGCGCTCTCTATCTCTAGTGTTTTTTGAGCCACCGCAAAAAAATATATACAAAAATTGTAGAGAATTGAATCTTCTACAAGTTTTATCGGAACATTTTTTTATCAAACTAACAGGGGGCGATATAAGTGTCAATAAAATTGTTCAACCCCTAATTGGCGGCACTTTTTTGGTTTCAACTTTTTTTCCTTGACAGCTATTACAAATTTTTTCGAACAAAAGTTGTAGAAAATATTTTTCCCTACAAAACTAAAAAAAAGGAACAATATGCGACCAATAGAAGCCGAGATATTCAAACTTTAAATATTTACCCTTATTTTCAAGATGGCCGCCGACGCACAGAGAAATTTTGTTGGAACTTTGTGAATTTGGATATCTCCTATGACTCTCTACTCACCCTCAGAAAATTGGCTTGTCAATCCGTTTTGCCATTTTCAAACCTAATTTTACTAGCCTACCTAACCATAATTCAGTTTAGTCATCCGGCAGTCGACCTCCGTCATTCAGCGAGTGCGTTAGATCCGTGCAGCAACTGAAAACCGAAAAAGAAAATCGTTTGGGGTAATGTATTACCCCAGTGAGTCATTTACGCGCGACATTTACCACAGTAAAGTATATTTCAGATTTTTTGTGAAAATTGGTAACGAAAAATTATACACTTTATAGCACTCCCCGGAAAATTCTACCCCTGTTTCATATATAATTGTTTAAGATTCGGTCAATTATTTCATTTTTGCTGTTCTTGCACTACAACTGATTAAAACTTTGTAAAGTTTTTGTGGAGTTACTTTTACTGTTTCCATATACTTTTATGACTTTTGACTACCTTTCAAATAAATAATAATCGACAGAATTTGTTTTACTTTCCATTTTTTGCGATTTTTCCCATCCGACAGTTTTACGTCATTTCCTCTACTTCAGACGTTCAAAGAAATATGTTTTTTTTAAGAAACGAAAAAGTCGCTTACATACCCTTGAAGGTTGTCTATTCGTCTTTCAAAATCTGTTGGAAATTTTAAAATCGGTGAATTTTATGAAAAACTACAGCATTTTTTATAAAAAGAGTCATTTCAGTCCAATTTTTAGTTCTTTTTCTTGTTTTTCGAAATTTTTTTACTGTTTTTTTTTTTTACTACCGCAAATTGATGACTATTATCGTCTTCCCTATTAAACAACAAACAAAATTATCTATTATAAAGTTTTCTAAGAACATTCTGGAAATATTATACACGCGGTACAAGTTTGGGGTAACGTATTACCCCAGTGAGTCATTCACGTATGAGAAAAATAAGTGAGTCTGTCTAGGGTTAAAATAACAAAACTCTTATTGCATAATGAGCATGGCAGCATTAAATCACAATGAAAATATATGATCTAGTCTTTATACAATTGCAAAATTTTGTTTTCAGTTCTTCAATAATTCTCAGATGATGGACTTGTTCATAGTTCAGAGTCAATACGATTCTCTTCACTTAGATTCTCATTTTAATATGAATCATCCGCAAATTAATAATTTATCGCAGATTGATTTAATTTTTAGTTTTCTCCGTTACATCAAAGATAAGAATTTATTAATAATTGAATATTTGGCTATATACAGTTTTTGTAAAAATACATATCATGAAAGAAATAAATGTATAGAAAAGAAGTTGGCTCAAATAAATTTAATTAAAATTTGAATATTTATGATCATAGAAATTGTTGTTTTGCAAATGCTCCAAAACATCGTTACTGATGAGGTGTTTCGAAATGGTGGCCGCACATGTCTCCACAAATAGTGAGTAAAACACAAACAAATAAAGACAAATTCAGTAAGTCTCACATTGCAATAAAATCTTTGTACTGTTCTTTCACATTACTTGCTGTATATTTAAAAAATCCTTTTTTTTTTTGTATTTATTTTTCTCCTTTTTAACAACATTCTCTTTTTATGTACTTCTTTTCATATTTTATTATACCTTATTCCTTAAATTCTTAACATCGTTTATATATCTTATCTCTATCTCATTAATTTTCATATATTTAACCGATGTTTATAATTCTTTATCGTCAATAGTAATAATTTTTTTTTTAATTTAGCAAATTTAGCTCATTGACTGTCAATGAATTTTGATCCGTACAAGAAAAATTAGCCAATCGCTTAACGGATCAATATCATATATCACACGAGTTTTTAAAATGGATAATTTACCAGCATTATCTTATCATAAGATGGACACAAGAAATACCTTTTTACGGACTGCTGACGCAATATTTCAATGGCCCTCATCACTGCAGTTACGGTAAATGGTGGATACCCATAAGTTTAATGACAAAATCTTCCTTAAAAAGATCCGATAAAAAATGGTTAACACCGCAAAACCCGTCTTTACCTGTGATTCATGCTAAAGATGACTGGATAATAGTCGACATTCGGCAAGCAGGTAAATATTAAATATGACTAGAAAGTTTATTAAATATCGTTATTTTCTGAAATTAAATATTTTTTATTATATTCGTATTCTTCATTTATATAAGTATTTAATGCATGCATATATAAATATATTACTATCAGATATAACTTTACATAAAACATATGATACGCTACTCCATTGTTGAATCTGTTGAATAAACATAGTAAAAATCTTATTTTGTATATAATTTTAATGTTATTTTTTTATTTCTGAAAATAATTAAAGTTTACATAATATTACTAAATATTATGTGAAATTCTTAAATCTTCAAAGCAACTTTTGAAAGTATTAGTATATAAAAATAATCTGTATTATAATAAAAAAATATGCATAATATGTACTTGCATGGAAATGTTAATGTATGAACGCAGACAAGACTGCGTGGGATTCTCTTTTCTTTCAATAAAGAAAGAAGGAGAAAAAGAACGCTCCAAAGCATTTGTAGCATCAAATGGACCGCAGCCTTAGGAAGGTTAGTTTTCATACCGAGACCTTATAACCATAATTCAGTTTAGTCATCCGGCAGTCGACCTCCGTCATTCAGCGAGTGCGTTAGATCCGTGCTGCAGCTGTAACCAAAAAAGAAAATTGTTTGGGGTAACGTATTACCCTTACTCGGCCGTTTACGCTCGACATTTACCACAGTAAAGTATATTTCAGATTTTTTGTGAAAATTGGTAACAAAAAATTATACACTTTATAGCACTACCCGGAAAATTCTACCCCTGTTTCATATATAATTCTTTAAGATTTGGTCAATTATTTCATTTTTGCTGTTCTTGCACAGCAACTGATTAAAACTTTGTAAAGTTTTTGTGGAGTTAATTTTACTGTTTTCATATACTTTTATAACTTTTGACTACCTTTCAAATAAATAATAATCGACAGAATCTGTTTTACTTTCCATTTCTTGCGATTTTTCCCATCCGACAGTTTTACGTCATTTCCTCTACTTCAGACGTTCAAAGAAATATGTTTTTTTTAAGAAACGAAAAAGTCGCTTACATACCCTTGAAGGTTGTCTATTCGTCTTTCAAAATCTGTTGGAATTTTTAAAATCGGTGAATTTTATGAAAAACTACAGCATTTTTTATAAAAAAAGTCATTTCAGCCAAATTTTTGGTTCTTTGTTTTGTTTTTCGAAATTTTTTTACTGTTTCTTTTTACTACCACAAACTGATGACTACTATCGTCTTTCCTATTAAAAAGCAAACAAAATTATCTATTACAAAGTTTTCTAACAACAAATAGAAACATTATACACGCGGTACAAGTTTGGGGTAATTTATTACCCCGCTTGGCCTTTCACGTATGAGAAAATTAAGAAATGCTCTCTAGGGTTAAAAGAACTTTTTGCATGCACTGAAGCTTCGAATAGAACTCATGTTTCGTAACGATCTGATGAGGATTCGTCAAATATAGTGATATATTTACTTGATGTAGCATTACATCGCGTAATTGAGGTCGCATCTGACTCTTCATCGATTTTGATCGTCTTTTTTGTGGTGAATCTATATGGGCTATAGTTAAGCCCTGCAAGAGCTTTTCATCGAATGCGCCTTGTAAGAAAAGTTTATTATTCTTTATTTTAATTTTTAAAAATTTATACATTTTCTAAAAATTTCTTAAACAATATAATAACGTAAGGATACATAGGTTTTATAAAGACAATCATTCTAACGTATCTGCCAAGGCAGGTAAAAAATTCGAAAGCTAAGGACATTCAAAAGCGAAGGATCAGCTAGAACTAGAGTAGGAACCGGAGAGAAGGTCAGTCGAGTATTGTTCCCTAACAACAGGGGAAACGAAGGCGAAACGGCACCTGTAGGTATAACACGGACCGCTAACATATTTAAACCATTAGCACCCTGTAGTGGTAACCAGCGTTATTAAATAGTATGTCTCCCATTCACATTCGGTCAGTGCGCTCAAAACTGTCATTCGTCGGCACTGTAATTTAACAAGATAAGATTTCTTTTTTATGGTTTGATCTAAATTTTATGATTTTCAACTAGCCTTCAGTTTATCTTTGGGTTTATTGTAATAAATTTTACTGACGCATATATAAATTAATATTGTTTCTTTTGGTTTTAAAGTAAAAAAAATTTTTTTAAATAGTATTACAACATAACTTAAAGTTTAGAGAGTGATTTAATTAGTATCCAAAAGGCAAAATGGACCGGGCAAAACGAACCGAGCAAAACACATCTGTTAATAACGTTATGGCATTGTTCAAGCGTTATTATTGTTATTTATTAATTTAGATGGATGATAACCACAAACGAAAAATAAATCGACAGTTTTGGGACAAAAATAGTATGAAAAATGCTATTGTAAAAATTGTTACTGGTGCAATGGCTTTCAATAAAGCATCGACTTTATATAATGTGCCAAAAACTACTTTAAAAAGAAGACTGACTAAATATAAATTCTACTAAAGATATTGACAAAGCCACAGAAAAAAAATAGGTAGGTTCATTTTGCCTTTAGGAGTAATTGACCGTTTTACCTTGCTATGAAGGTAAAATGGATCAAAAGGAAGATATTAAAAATCATTTAATATCTTTTTTATCTGTGATTTGATTAAAGTTTGATTAATAAATAATAAGGAAAAATAAATACTGATTTGTTATGTTATAATAATTTTATAATAAAGCTTACTGTTTCTGCGTAAATATCTTTTTTCGTTAAGTGTGCGTTTTGCCTTCGTTTTCCCTATAGGCCCTAACGATTACAAAATCAAACTTGTTCTGTACGCGAAAGCAGTCGAACGTATAACTCTTGTGAGATTGTGAGTTCATCGTGAAGTACTCTATCGATCGCTCGAATTTTTAAGAATAAAAAACTTTTCTTAGAAGGCGCATGGCGCATTCGATTAAAAGCTCTTACAGGACTTAATATAGCCCATATATGTATATTTACCACAAAATAAGGTGATCAAAATCGGTAAAGAGTCAGATACGACCTCTCCTGTCAATATAATAATATCCAAATTTTCAATAGATTATATCAAGAAGCGCGCTTTTCGGTGGATTCCCCAACCTTGTCACGTAGCAAGAAATGTGCATATCCGGCCCTGCTCTCCCAACGATGTCGATCGTGAGGATCGGCACAAAAGATGGACCTTTTCATTGCTCTGAGGTTCTTGCCTGCGCACTATTAAAGCTGCTACTACAGTATAAGAATGCGTCTATAGTGAGGTAATCATCCTTAACTAAAAGCCAACCCCGATAGAAAAAGATTTATAAAATTATATAACGAAATCTGGATGAAATTTGGAATGCTGCAATTACGTGTCTCAATATTTGCAACAATACTTGTAGAAATTTAATTTTTAATTATAGTGTAAATATTGATAAATATTTGCACAATTTATTTCTAAGTAAATGGTATTTCAGCAAAACAGCAGCATTATGGCGAACTAGCTTACAAATATATGAAAATTAAATTTGGAAAGAAATTGTGAAATAATTGAGTACCTATATTTAATAGGTTTTTGTAAGTTTTTCCAAATATTATGCTCTGAAATAATATCGCCATTCCAATTTTCTCTAAACCAAAATTTACGATCTTATTCATGCTGCTCTTATTGCTCCGTCTCGACAATTATGGTCTCATCTCATAGTTATATCATACGTTTTAAAGAATAGATTGCATGATTGTCGCACAATGGCTTCCCGCTACAATGCTATTACTGTAATAATCACGAACATATGGATACTCGATTACATGTAAATAACTCCGTTATTATGTTCTGGTGTTAGCATTCTGATTGACTTTCAATTAGCTTTTAGATATGAATTTCCGGGAAAGAACTCGTAACTAACAAAATGCTTCGAGCAGCTACTTAAGGTTATGACATAGGTATCGATATCTTTCTTTCTTTTTTTCTTTTTTATTCTCTCTCATTGTTCTTTATTTTTGGCTTGATATCTGTGTTTTTTTGTATTTCGTTGTTTTTAGAGTGTACTTGATAAGGACCAAAAATAATGGTCAGAACGTCGTCATATATACAAAAACCAGGAGTCGTGTATAAACGTTATAATAAATTATCAGTTTGGTCGAAATAAATTGTTTTTTCTTGTAAACTAATTCATGTTACATGCAGATTAAAGGCAGGGAACTGCAATTTTAAAAACACATTGAATCCTAGACGAGAAAAAAAATCGGTGTTTGTTGGGGTGATTTTACTTCTAAATATCGAATATGTAAATAATTGTGCAAAATTTAAACTTAAAATTGACTTTATCATTTTTTGTGTAAATATCATTCAGAAATTTCATGCCTGCAAAACCGCTGCGTTATGGCGAATCATCTTAATGCAATAATCGAGAAATTCCTCTCAATTGAATGAGGCAGTTATTGTACAATATTTGCGCAATTTTTCTATCGGAGAAGAGCTTTAACACATTGAATGTTTAACACATTGAAATCAAGAAACAGAATTGGCATATAAATTATAATACCGCAACGAAAAAAATAGGAAATAGGTATTAAGTGGCAGAATTCATAGATATTCAGGTAATTATGCATAAAAAGACCCCACCTGCCGATGACCTTGACCTTGACATATGTTGTCAAGGTCACCCTTTTGAGTGACCTTCATAAGTTTTTAGCCGGCGGTCGTTATTCGTTAAAAAGTTATTAACAAAAAAAGTTTGGAAAATACGTAGGTTAGATGATGCGCTTTAACAGTATTTAACTGTTTAAAGCGCGTCACTAATCTAACCTACGTATTTTCCAAACTTTTTTTGTTAATAACTTTTTAACGAATAATGAGCGACGGCTAAAACCTTCTGAAGGTCATAACCTTGACAACATATATCAAGGTCATTGAAATCGGTGAGGTCGCCAAACTTTTTTTGTTAATAACTTTTTAACGAAAAACGACCGCCGGCTAAAAACTTCTGAAGGTCACTCAGGAGGGTGACCTTAACAACATATGTCAAGGTCAAGGTCATCGGCAGGTAGGGTCTTTTTATGCATAATTACCGATATTCAATTAAATTTTTAGATCTCGAGATCGGAGTGTCTTAGATAACTGTGATATCGTAGTAGGTGTTGGCGGCGAGTATGATCCTCTCAGACATCGATACGACCATCACGTGAGGTAAAATAACATACTTTTTACTGATACACTATTAAAGAAAATCTCTGTTTTCGCCACATCGTTATTTTTTCCTTCCTCGTATCAGAGAATTCCAGGAATCAGTGAGTACTATTGTAAAGAAATCAGGGTACAATTGGACAAATAAATTAAGCAGTGCGGGATTGATCTACTGCCATTTTGGTCATGATATATTGAAGAGAATACTTTCGGACGTAACCAAGGACGTACTCGAGGATACAAACGTTGATGAAATCTTTAAGATCATTTACGATACGTTTATCCAGGAAATCGACGCTATAGATAACAATGGGCAAATGTACGATGCAGAGCCATTGTGATGTTACAAAACGCTTTTCCAGAATAATTGCATTTGCATTTATTTCAGTTATCGATCAACTACCGATTTAAGCGCGCGCGTAAGCAGATTAAACTTATACCAGGATGAGAATATCAAGACACAATTTGAGAAAGCTATAGCTTTGGCTCAGGATGAATTTTTGGAAATTTTGCACGTCACAAAGAACATTTGGTTACCGTCAATTACAGACGTGCGACGTGCTGTAGAGAATCGGTTCGAAGTAAGAAAAACCCTTTTTCTAGTTCTTTTTTTGTTTTAGATATACTTTCGACTATCGTTTAATGTAAAACATTCTTGTAAGGTTGATTCGAGCGGAGAGATAGTAATGGTGCCACAATCATCGCGGTGCCAAAATATGTGGCGGTTTGTGTTTTATTTGGCAGAGGAAATGAACATCTCGCCATCAATAAAGTACGCCATTTCTAAGACTGAGAATAGTTATCGTATTAAGTGTATGCCGGTTAGTTCCGAGCGCGCAATGTTATTGCCGGAAGCGTGGGGCGGTTTGCAGAGTGATGCCCTTGTAAAAGTCTGTGGAATTGAAGGCGCTGTACGTGTAGATTCCAATCGGAAAACCGGCGTTCACAAAATTAAGAACGGCGCAATGGCTATGGCACGGAAAGCGCTCAAAATTGGGAAAAGTGTGCAAGGTGGAGAAGAATGACTATGTCTAAACCATTGATTTTCTTTAGAATTTTTATGACGATTATTGTACATTTTTTAAAAACATTTTTTTAATTAAATGCAACTCGATCTTCTACATTTTGTTCTATTTAAAGACTCCGATCATTTAACACTCATATTAAATCCCAATATAAGAAAATCAATTCATCTTTCGAATGGTCGTGCGTCAAATACTTTTAAATATATTTAATAAAAACGAATAAAAAATTGCATATACTTATTATATAGATCGGAAAGAGATGGCACCACTTAGACAGCAAAATTCTCTCCAGTCTGTACCGCAGGTGCCTCCGCAGCCTCTACAAGCATCTGGTGTCAACTCTATCGAACAGCAGCAACAGCAGCAGCAACAGCAACAGCAGCAACCTCAAAATAATGCTGGAGGTACTTTTCCGCCTTAGAATTTGATACCACCAATTAGTAATTAGTAATTAGCACGATAAAACAAAAACTGTCTTAAAACTTATATTGATCCGATTCGTTTCGGTCTACCCTAAGTTATTTGATGGATAGAGTATCATTAAAGGAAGATTGTTATTGAGAATCGGTGAAGAGCTTACCGATTTCTGCTTAAAGTGTATAAGATGTACATGTAATTTTAGAGTATCATTAAATGAAGGTTGTTTTGAATTTTGCGAGAATCGGTGAAGGGTTACCGATTTCTGCTTAAAAAATGTGTAAGTTATTTGATGGATAGAATATCATTTAAGGAAGGTATTGAATTTGGTGAGGATCGGTGAAAAAGTTACCGATTTCTGATTAAAAAGTTACATGTATAAGTTATACATGTAATTTTACATAGAGTATTTTTAAAAGAAGGTTGGTATTGAATTTAACAATAATCGGTAAAAGGGTTTTTTCTTTATAAAATTTTGGATTTTTTGAGAAATGTTCGTGGTTACTCTAACTTCCGCCAATTTTAAGATATCAGGTTATTTATGATTTTATTATATTCTTCAGTCTTTTTTACCCCTATTTCATATATATATATAATTCTTTAAGATTTGATAGTTGATTAGACCCAGCTTTATACGCGATTAAAGGTCCATATGCGAAGTCCATATATGGACCATGTAGCCTGAACCCCCAAAGTCAACATCGATTGACATTGCGTAAAACTCCATTTGTGCTGTAGCTAACCTCTATCAAATGTATGTAAAAAGATTAAATTTAAAATTAAAAAAAGTGTGTAAATTAGAAACTTGCACATTGCTTCCTCATCATTACAGATTGCTACCATTGCTCCTATTTTATTTCGCTTATAAAGCTTCCTCTATGAGGAAACCAAGCTAATAAAAATTAATAATGCATAACTAATAATAATTATGCATCGAATAAAATATAAGCTTCTTTATAAGAGGAATTTTGTGAGCGAAGTAAAATAAGAGCAATGATAGCAATCTGTAATTATAAGGAAGCAATGTACAAGTTTTTAATTTGCACATTTTTTTCTTTTTTTTATTACATAAAACAAACAGAAAATATTTAACACAATAAATTACTTTTTACTTTGCCAGTCAAATAATAAAACAACAATAGAAATATTAATTGACTCTACTGGCCATTATAATCGTCAAGACAATACGACCACGATTTGGTTCGATTAGCGTCATGTAATCTTTGATTCTTATATATAAGCATCTCATTTAAATAATTAAATGTATTGCAAAAAATATTACCTCAGCCAGGGTTCGAACCTGGAACCCCCTCATTCCGTGTGGGTATCGTTCTTGTAGGCTGTAAAGTAGGCCCGTTCAAACCAAAGTTAGGCGGGGCTAGGTGTCAGGATTGGGGGCAGCAAGAAAGGATTTCCACAGGGGCGTAGTAATAGAAACACACAACTTAAACACGAGGACGACACCCAAACGGAATGAGGGGATTCCAGGTTCGAACCCTGGCTGAGGTAATATTTTTCGCAATAAATCTAATTATTTAAATGAGATGCTTATACAGGGTGTCTCAGACCACCCGTATCACCCGATTTATTCGTAAACGCAACATTTTAGAGAAAAATGTTTCAGACAAAAGTTGTATGATTTTAAAGGGTACATAAGATGGTGTCATTTGTTTGACCTTAGATGGTCGTTTAAAGCTCACGTAAACGACACCTGTAATTTCTTACATGAAACGCCTTATATTGTAGTATATCGTTTAAAAGGGAATAAAATAAAAAAGATTTTGGCGCAAGATAGAGATCGATACGTTAACCCATTCAAAAGTTATTTAAGGTCAAATATTGGCGTTCTCAAACTTTGACCCCAAATTAACTCCCGAACGGATTGACGTATCAATTTCTGGGTTGCGCCAAAAATTTTCTTTTCTTATGCTTTTTTTAACGATATACTACAATATGGGGAGTTTCACTTACAATTTTTTAAAGCCCCAGGGAAACTGCAACTCAAAAATTTTAAATGCATTTAAGTTTTTTATATATATAATTTAATTAGCGTGCAATATAGATATACGTACCTGATCGTTCACAAGCGCAACCGTATCTTTAAGTTCCAGATCGAAATGAGGATCGCAAGCGAGGACGGGCAAGAAGGATCGCAAGCGGACAAGCTTATCGATTACTATCGCACAAGCTATCGCACAATGTGTACTTTTTCTTCGTCAGACTTCTCGTACTCGATGCTTGGCTGTTGAGTCGGTTCACTGGCATTAGGAAGTGGCTGCAAGAGAAAGGCCCGAGGATTCTTTGGACCACGCTTCTAACGTTACTTCTTCTGGTTGGGGCTTATTGCATCGCGCAGATTATTTTACTATTGCTGAATCTCCATGCAACATCCAATACACTGGAAAAAAAAATTCTAAAATTAGAATTATCTTTACTTAAATTAAATATGACATCTTCATCGGGAGCGAGCCAGAAAGTAGCAGAGGCTCAGATTTCTAACGTGGTAGTACAGTGCGAATGCAGTAACGAGTATCTTAAGCGAGCGGAAATTCAGATAAGTACAAATGGTGTGGACTGTAAATTTTCCGCGAATTTACAGCTTAATACTGCATGTCCGATAAGTTTAATTAAAGCTAAATTTGTTCCGCCGGGTTCGATTACGCAGTTAGAGAGTGAGCATTACGAAGGTATAAATGGTTCCGTATTAGAAATTAAGGGCGTAGTAGTAGCAAAAATCGGTCTCGAAAATGCTATGACGAATGATGCGGTAATACGCGTTGTGCCTGAACACATCATGAAATGTGATTTATTATTGGGAAGAGACGTATTAAAGAAATTAAATCTTACGATAGCTAAACGATCTGACGAAAAAGATAATGAAAGTACCGCGAGTGAAATAAGCGAAATATTAAATATTGAAACGGATGAGGTGGTCAGTGATGAAATCGATGCGTTAGACGTGAATCCGAATTTGCCTTATGCGATTAAAAATAAGTTTAAAGAAAGATTTCGAGCGGGATATTTACAAACTGAGAGACCGTCGGAACCGAAAATAAAAGCCGAACTTAAATTACAAGTAAAGGAGAAACAGCCTTTTCATTTTGCGCCTAGAAGACTATCGATCGATGAGAAAAAGAAATTACGCGTTATTTTAAATGACGTGTTAGCGCGAGGCATGATTGATCCTAGCACTTCAGAGTACGGATCGCCAATCGTATTAGTACGAGATAAAGAGGGGAGTTTACGAATGTGTGTAGACTATCGCACTTTAAATAAGATCACGGCACGAAAAAATTTTCCTATGCCGGTAATAGGAGAACAGATCGACGCGGTATGGGTAATATATAACATGGATAATATGGGCGGCAAATCACACGAGTCTTTCGTCCCGAGGTGCACACCATATTTTTCATAATACCTTTACGGAAAGTTCGACTTCCATGCCTAAAGAGAGGCGAGAGTGGTCAATTTCAAGCCAGGACTTTATACTTTCCTCTCTAGGGCGGAAAGTGGTTACTTTCCGCCCGCTATGCCGCCCTGGCGTGAAATTGGCCGCTTTCGCCCCTCTTATTGTTAGTCCAGTAGGCACGTCGTTAAAAATAACAAATAAATCGACTAATTAGGACAAAGTTGCAAAAAATTTTAATTGCTTTGTTTGGGTGTCAGTAATGACATACTATAAAGTTTGCCACCTCCCCCGTGGTGTGCTTCGGCCGCCATCTTGGAAGAAAGGGGTGAAAAATCGGTTTTTTGCAAATATCTCGGTTTCCATTAGACATAGGCTAAAATAGTTTAATGCAATATTGTAGGAAATTCCGTACAAAAAAGGAAGTATAGGTTTTTTTCCTACGACCAATAGTTTTTGGCGCTAAAGCCGGCAGGAGTAGGATACTTTTTGTAACAAACAGTTTTAGCAACTCTATCTCGCCGTATCTCATTTGCCAGGTAAATGGCGTTGTTATTGTGCTAGTGAACCGTTGTCGTTTTACACATCTGGCTTTGTATTATTTACTCGACAATGCTATAAACACTCCTTGTTAAAAGCTAGGAGCATTCAAGATTTTAAATAAATTAAAAGATATAGTTATGACAATTATCTCACTGTTTACAATGTCCTGTTTACAATACATCCTTCGGTGGCTGGGCTCAAGTCAAAATTTAGTATAGCATTGGCTTTGGTCAACGTTGCATGTGTTTTTCGTTTTTCGTGTTTCTATATACTAAAATAAAATTATGAATTTAGAGCAGTGTTTTATTTGTGAGGAGACGTTATCCCGCGGTGATACAGTTAATGTCAAAGAGAGAGGGATTAAAACTCTCATCGAGAGCAGTAGAGAGAGAAAAGACAATAAACAATTATTCTTAAGGAGATTAAACTGTGTAACTGTGAACGTCAAGTGCCGGGAAACTTATATAAATAAAAAAGTTATAATTGCATCACTGAGAGCCAAGGAGAAAGCTGTTCCTAGTGTAATCAGCTCCCGAAGATCGAGCATTCCATCTTTCGACTTCAAGACGACATGTCTGTTCTGCGCGGAAGATGCATTGGAAAAATTTGTAAAAAAACAAACGAAGAAGAATGTTGCAAGGCGCGATACTGTGCACGTGATCAATACGATGCAAGTTAAAGAAAATATTTTGGAAACTGCAAAGAAAAGAGGAGATACGTGGGGCGAAACTGAAAGTATGCGCATCTTAAACGTAATGGATTTAGTTGCGGCCCAGGGTCGACACCACGGTTCATGTATGCGAAAATTTTTTTATTCTTTGAAAACGTGACATTTGACAACTCTCTACATCAAAAAGACCAAGATTAAAATAATTAACTTTTTTATAATGGTTTTTTTTATTTGCGCACTATGTTCCGTGCCTGACTCGCATTCGCCGTTTTAAATCGTTGACACTTTCACGAGTTTAATTACATTATTGAATAATTAAGACAACCCTGGCAAAAAAATTCTCATAATCTTAATAATAAACTGAGTGGATTAGGCCTACAGGAGA